CAGGGTCTCTCCGTGTTGTCGCCACCAGCCAAGCTGCCCTTGATTCCGGAGGATCGGGTCCTGGCTGTCGTTTCTTAAGGGGAGCAGACCCACTCCACTTCTCCCGAGGTCTCATCCACACCCGTTGATCTTCGTGGCAAACGAGGGAGACGGACTTCGTGGGATTCTTCGTCGAAGTCATCCTCGACCGAGTCTGCGCTGCCTGAGGTTGTCCTTCCTACTCAGGTCATCGACCCTATAGAGCTTCTCCGACCGGTCACTAGTCTGTCTACGATTTCCGCACCGCGACCTAGGAAGAAGAGGAAGGGAGCCTCTCGTCCTTCATCTCTGCCTGTCCCAGAGCATGTTCCCACTGCAAGCGCTGTCCCAGAGCACGCTCCTACTACTAGCGCTGTCCCAGAGCACGCTCCCAGTGCAAGCGTTGTCCCTGAGCCCGTTTCGACTCAGGGTACTGTTACTGATCTAGCTGCTGAAGACGCGGTGCCCGAGCCTGCTGTTGTGAGCGCCACAGAGAAGGCCGCGGCTGCTGAGGCCGTTTTGCGGTCAGTGTCAGCTGATCGGGAGTTGCCTATCGTCGTTGCTGCAAGAACATTGTCTGAGTATCTGTCGAGTTTAGCCAAGATACTGGAAGTTCCTACCAACACTGGCACGTTGTCTTGTCCCGAGTCCACTGCGTCAGAAGGCGCTATTCTGAAGTCAGCTGCCGTGAGTGCCGTACTCCAGTCAGCTGTCATGAGCGCCTTACCCCAGTCAGCTGCCGTGAGCGCCATACACCAGTCAGCTGCAGACGACGATCTCCCCGATTCAGAGACGTGGAGCGTAGGTACTGAGCCGTCTTCGGGGAGCTCAGTTCTTACTTCTGCTCAACAGTTACCCGCAGCATCCCCTGTCTTGTTTCCTGTTGTGTCGCCTCCTGTGTCCCCTATCAAGAGTCCTGTCCCTCCGCTTGTTTCTGTTCCTGTGGTGGCTTCCACCCCTGTCAGGCTGCCTAGTGTTTCCCCTAGCACCTCTGTCATTTGTCAGCTTCGGACTGTTTCCCCCAAGACATCTCCTCATGTGTCTCCAGCCAAGTCCCCCCGGATTCCCTGTCCTCAGCCCTCGTCCCGAAGACCCAAGACCCCCAGTCCTCCCATCCACCCTGGACTGCCCCCTAAGGACTTTGTGTTTCCTCCACCTCCTCTGCATTGTATGTTGTTTTTGATGTTTCATCCCAACCCTGTCATTGTTTTTTCATGTATGCCATTATTAGTGTTTTCCATGTTTTGTTGTTTTTTATCTATGTCACGGTCTGTCTTGTCTTGTGTTTAGTTTCCCTTTGAGGAGCGTCTGGAAGCCGCTCCTTAAGGTGGGGGTTCTGTCATGATTCTGCCTTCATGTCTTTGATTTCTCTAGTCTTGTGGCAGGATCATGGTAGACCCATGTTTTGTGTACAAGCACATGGCCTTTTGCTTGGGCCATGTGCTTGTGTTGTCTCGTTACGTTACCCCGCCCCCTTGTTATCCTCGTCTTGTCATTATTGTCTAGTCAGTTTCACCTGTCCTTGTCATTAGTGTCTCCCTATATTATCCCCTTGTGTTTGCTGTCCTTTGTCGGTTCATTGTCAAACTCTGTCTATCATTGATCATCGTGTGTCTATCTTTATAGCACACTTCTGTGAGTACTTTGTCTAGTTCCAGTTTATTGTATTGTGAGTTTTTGTTATTAGTTCCTTGTCAAGTCTTTATTTATTAGCTAGTCTTACTTGTTGCCTCGAGTCTTGTTTTGCCCCCTCGTGGGTTTTGTTTTCTCTGTTTTGTCCTCAATAAATTGTGTAGAGCATTCAGTCTGCTTTTGGGTTCGTCTATCCTCCAACTTCATAACATCATGAAAATCAAAAAGAAATTTAATCCCTCAAAATGGTACCGGTAGCCCAAATTTGGGGTCCTGTCTCATGGTCTATATTACATTACTCCATAGTAACCCATAATAATTATAAGGACATTTTACTTAAAGGGGTCATATAATGGTACATGCACTTTTACAAGTTGATTGTACTGAAATGTGTGTTGGCAGTGCCTGTACACAAACATCATATAATGATAAAAATCCATCCAGTGGTTTTGTTTTAATCTCCTTATATGTTTTCCCCTGCCTCAAATCGAGCCGTTCGTTTTTGTGACGTCAAAAAAACGGATGCCCCTCCCACGATTGTTGATTGACGGGAGCGTTTCAACACAGACCCGCCCTCGCACATGAGGTAGCTGTCAATCATAGTCTGCGCGGCGCGGACCGGACCGGCGCGGTCATTGTTGATGTGACGGAGCACTGTCTATGAGCAGAATGGCGTCTAAGCGATTGTGGTGTTCTGTTCTTGGGTGTAATAACGAACACAGTCATTTTAATGTTCCTGAAGCCGAACCGCTGAAGACGCAGTGGCTGAGTTTTGTTTTCGAAGGGAATATTCCCCACGAGCAATGTCAATGCTCTCATGTTTGCGCGAATCATTTCACACACCAGACTGCTTTATAAACGAGGGTCAGTATAAAGCTGGATTTGCTAAGAAGCTTTGCTAAAAAGGATCGGTACCAGATATTCGTGTTCCTGCTGAACCTCCAGAAGAACGGAAGTGAGTGAAACGTTTTATTAAACTTTATATTAATATATTAATCTTTGCAAATCGCTAGCTGCACGCTTCACAATGAATGCGTCTAAGGTTTACACTCAGTCAGGGTACATTACGGCATGTTTTCTATGTATGACGTTCTCAATATAATTCATAATTCCACGTTTATACTGAACAACGCGTTATGGTTATTGTGTTATTGTGTTACAAACGGTGTATGCACAGAACAGAGGGGCGGAGTGAGCGCAGCTCATGATCATTTAAAGGCATATGCACTGAAACGGCGTGCTGAAAACAGAGCTGTTTTTGACCAGGTAAAATAAGTGTTTTCTTACAATACTAATGAGAATTTTTAATGAAAGTATATTACAAACTTTTAATTTAGACCCTAAAGAATCATATTAGCTTGTACAAAAATGGCATTATATGACCCCTTTAAGAAATTTTACATAAGCCAAATTCTATAAATCAACCCGCATAATGAGATTCTCCTCTTACATTATGGAATACCTTAAATGTTACTCGGAATTTCAAAACTGCAAGTATTGAGTAAACACTCGGGCAGCTGGAATGAGGTGGTAGACAAAGAGACTGCACAAGATAAAGATAAAATACCGTCTCAGAACACTGTCAAACTCTGCTTAAAAAAGAAATAACACAAATGTTTTTAGTCTCACCTCACCCATATAGCTGGCTTCTCTACTGACTTTTAAGTATGTTGCGTACCTGTTTGAATGCACATGTGGAATTCTCAGTACTCAAGTTCTGCATGAACATTTTTCAAGGAGATCTTAAAGCATCAGCCACAAATATGACTCTGACATAACATTAAAATATCTCACATGGTTTCACATTTGGTTCACATATAAAGGGTTGCATAAAATGCCCTTTTTTCATTTAAAAGTTGCATGTTTCATAAATTTACCCTGTTTTTGTGGTTTGTGAAGTGTGATGTATATGAGAAGATGGATTTAGAGTATATTGTGGAGGAATTTAACGTTTAACAAGGAGTGTAATGTGATATTTTACTCATCTGGACGTGAACCAATGACCATGTAATTCAGAAAATTGCTATAAGTCAATAAAGACTTCTGTGTTGTTTGACAGTGTATTGTTTGTTTATTAATAGATACAATGATACAAAAATAGATTTCATTGAATAAATTAAATAAATTAACTGACTTCTGGACGTAAGCAATTCAAGTTTAAACATTCAAGTATCTGTGAATAAGGAAGAAAACAAGAACAGGTGCAGGATAATTAAATGTATTACAATAGTCAGAACTCTGTACATGTAAATAATAATACACATGTAGTCATTAACAGATTCCATTTAATTCAGGGTATTTTTAGACAGTAATGGGAACACTACAGTAGCACTAAAGTCTTTTACACAATGGACCCAGCAGACAGTAGCAGCCGGTTTGTAATTTAGGAAAACAATAACAGCATTTTTTGGCAAGTGTTGAGCTATTGAAACTTGCTGGTATCTGAACAATAAAAACACCCGACTGAAAGTATGCAATAAATACTTCCGCCTTCACCGAAGGGGGGAAAAAAAAGAGGAAAAATGGAGGGAAGGAAAAGTCGTAAAAAGGAAAACAGATAAACATTCCTCACGGCTACAGCTTTTTTCTTTTAAGTTGTTTCTTCATTTAGACACTTTCCTGAGCAGTTGATCATAGAAAGCATCAGACACATTCATTTTCCAAATAAAATTTAAATAAATAAATATATATATATATATGAATAAATAAATAAATAATAAAATTAAGCTCTGATACAGAGAAAAACTCTAATAAATAAAGGATATTAAAATAAAACAATAAAAAATAGTGTCAAGGATGGAGATTATACCTAAAGTCCTTCAGTCTGAGGGAAAAGGGTTTTTATTTGTTTATATATATGCCCGTTCTCATCCTTTGGCGTCATACATGTGACGCTTTGTACATTTCGTTGAAATCTTACGCACATGGCATCCTTTAGCATCAATATTAGACGCAGAACCCAAGGCGTCATACTGGTGACGCTCGTCTAAATCCAATGCACATGGCATCGTTTAGCGTGAATATGAGACGCAGATCCCAAGGCGTCATAACCGTACCCTACCCCAGACCTAAACCTACCCATAACAGTGCGTGTTATATTGACGCTAAAGGATGCCATGTGCGTAAGATTTCGACGAAATGTCATATGGCGTCACCTATATGACGCCAAAGGATGAGAATGCGTTGATATATATATATATATATATATATATATATATATATATATATAGTGGTCTTTTCAAGAAGGAACCCATCATAACTTCCTGCAAAAATGGTTGCAGTATTTCAGCGATTTTTCAGATTTCAGCTCACTCATTTGGAAATGTCACAGTTTTACTGGTGCAGAGGGTGATCTGTTCTTCTTTTCACCACCTAAATCATCCTTGTACTCTGGCGAACCGTCGTTTCTGCTCCACCTCAACTGAAGAAACTGAGGGTTTGTGCCGCAGGATTCAGTTCTATCTTTAAATTCAGAGAATCCACCATGTTTGCCCCCTCTTCACACAAGGCACATCCTCCTCATCCAGGATTGGTTTTGTTCAAATGCTCACACGACCGTCGTTTCATCTCGCTCTAACTGATTAAGAGATTCCTGGCTCTGGATTTATTTTTGGGTGTAGCAGATCGTGACGCTGTAATGAGGTTGTCTTTAAACACCTTCCTGCAAATGGAAATGACACATTGTTTAGCCCCAAAGCAGGATATTTTGTGTTAATTGAAGCAAAAGCATATGCTAATAGTGCTTATGTTGATGGCAAATATACCTGAGAGTTGACAGTAGAGGATCACTGCTTTTGCCCATGTGATTTAACTGGTCACCAAGTTGGGTCACAATCTCCATATCTGGATTTTCTGAGCTGCAGGTAAAAATTGAGAATAAGGTCAGACACTAAATTCACCAGTCATTCAAGTTTGGTCATTCAAATGTGTCCAATTTTTACTGGTAATGCTATTGTATAAAATATGCTTTGTATATATATAAAATAAAAGATTTTAACTTTTTTTCAATGACTTGCTCTGGCATCCAAATCCAAATGTCTCTCCCAAATACATACAGACAAAGACATTAGCCAATGCCGTCCTTGAACAACCACAGGACTGTTCTGATAAAAATAAACTTGTCCAAAAATAGTTGTCCTTTGATTTTGGGACCTGCATGACTCATTACTACTTTAGTCATTAGATGGTTTCTTTTTCACTCCCTTATTTCCTTTTATCTCAAAAAAGGGATGCATATCAGAGCTTGGTAAATCCTCCCACACAAACTGCCCTCATCTCCGCTGGTCACACACGACTGCCTGGCATCCGCGACAGACAAAATGACACGTATCTATCTGATTTCATCTTCAGGGTGGAACTAGAAGGTGCGGGAGTCTGACCTCACCTGGTGTGACAGAAACTGGAGCAGGTACGATCAGTGGGATTCGCACATTCACAACGACCAGTGGAACGCCGGCGACGGGAAAGAGAACTTCCCAGACCAAAAGGGGTTATCTTACTGTAGTGAGATGAGAGGAAGATAATTAGTAGAGAATTCATTAAAATGCACACAAGATGTTATAAATTCATGTTTTTCAGTGTCTACATGTTATCAAAATGACATATTCTAGATCTAATTTTACACTGGGACCATTTTACCAGTCATATTTTGGGGTTTTACAATGAGAAGAAAAGCTTTTGTTAATTTAAGGTGAATTCAACTGGTTGTCTTTTGAAAATCCTTTAGTACCTATTAAAAATCAAGTACCTCATTTTATCTTATATACACACTCACCTTGGTGTGTTGACCCAGATGATGTCCAAATGGCAGAAATAGATGCACTCGTTGTCCAACCAACTGCTACAGGAGCAGCGCTTGGTACGAACCCGTTTGAGAGCAGATGGATTGCCAGATGCTTCAGACTGTTCAGATAGTGGATATCCAAACCCTAGAAAACACACAGAATCTTTGAAGAAACATTCACACATTCTGGTAACCTATACGGCAATCTCTAAATCCACTTATTTTTACATGACCAAATCAACATTAGGTATACCAACAAAAGTACAGATCAGATCCAACTGCACAATATTTCATATTATTCTATATTAGATGAATTACATGGAAAGATAAATGCACAAATTCTAGTATGTACTCTATATAGATTTAACACTGAGCAATGACAGCTGCACTTATCTTTATCTTTGTGTTATCTTTGTGCTGATGTCCACCAGTGAGGTCAAGTACAAGAGAATACACTGACATATATGACAATTTAATCATAACATCTGATTAGTGGGGACATTTCTCCACTCAATTCAAAAATCTGAGAAGAAAAATCTCCATCTAAGCTCCATAAAATATTATTGCTGTCAAGCTAAAACAACTGAAATGTATAATTAATCTAACCTTTTTGAAACCGAAAGTGCACAGCTCACACTTTTGTAACCCACACAAGAGGACAGAACACTTTTGAATCTTCTTCTTTAAAAAGGTAGAAGTATCTTACCTTGCTGCAGCACACATAGTGTAACTGAGATAAAGACAGCAGTCCGCAGTGAGAAAGCCATTGTAGTTTCTCAAGAGTTTAACGCGTCTGTTAAATCCAGATGAGTGTTGATGTTCAGTCAGTGTCTGCAGTCCACAGTGCTCAAGAGAGAGACTAACAGGTGCTTGTGTTCAGCTCAACCTGCCCGCCTTCCATTTATCCTACCAAACGCTCCGCCCAACACAGTTACTCAACATTGACTATCCCAGTGATTCCAGATATTCCTGCCTCCTGATTGGTTCAAAGCATGTATGATGTGGGGGGATTAAAAGAAAGGTATGGAACAGGGAGTGATGTCATGAACTCCCCCTGGATAAGTCAGTGTCACAGAAACAGGAAACCTTTTTTTTCTCTGCAGGGGAGCCCACGTGCTGTCATCATCAGAGGAGATAGCATTTAATGGCATGTTTTGCTTGTTTCCAGCGATACATTCCACAATAGTGTAGAAAACCCCTGGAGGAAAAAGCAGGACTGATAGGATATCCAGTCCAGGACCACAGATTATGGATATGTCATGGCATAATAAGATTGGTTAGAAATCCTCACAGGTTAGGGTGTATTTCTTGATTCTATAACATTATTTATATAGAGTAAAAACAGTAATATTGCAAAGTAACAAATTCATAGAGGAAAATGTCCTTGCTCAGACACACACACACACACACACATATATTTATATATTTGTATACACCCTTGCATGTGTGTGTATCTGAGCAATGACATTTTCCACTCTGAATTTGTTTTACTCTATTATTACTGTTATTAAATATTACTGTTTTTACTCTATAATTAATGTTATCGAATCAAGAAATACACCCTAATCTGTGAGGATATCTAACCAATCGTATTATGCCGTGACACATCCATAATCTGTGGTCCTGGACTGGATATCCTGGACATGCACTATCAGTCCTGCTTTTTCCTCCAGGGGTTTTCTGCACTAATGTGGAATGTATCGCTGGACACATGCAAAACATGCCATTAAATGCTATCTCCTCTGATGATGACAGCACGTCGGCTCCCTGTTAGCTCCCCTGCAGAGAAAAAAAAGGTTTCCTGTTTCTGTGACACTGACTTATCCAGGGGGAGTTCATGACATCACTCCCTGTTCCATACCTTTCTTTTAATCCCTCCCCACATCATACATGTTTGAACCAATCAGGAGGCAGGAATATCTGGAATCAGTGGGATAGTCACTGTTCTGAGCACATCTGAGCAATGACATTTTCCTTCTTGAATTTGTTTTGCAATTATCTTTTACTGTATACACACATTTTATACAGCATATAAAAGCTCATAACTCATAATGTGACTTTTTGACACTGACACTTGACTCTTTTGGTAACACTTTATTTCGATAGTCCACTTTAGACATTCTACTAACTAGTAACTTTGCAACTACATGTCAACTAACTGTCATTAGAGTATTAGACTTACCTTATAACCTTATATATTTGACCACAGGGAAAATGACATGATAACGTTCAGAAAATATGCAGATTAAACACGAAACCCCATCAATGGAAGTCATGACAGCATCATTTGTCTGTCATTAATCCTATCAGCACACTCTTGTTAACAAATGTCACTGATTCAAATATGCAAAATATTCTGACCTGGAGGAAGACATTTTATTAAACACTGGAAATGTACACACAAATGTCCTCTAGCTGCTCTTCCATCATTGAGTTTAATTCTTTTCCATATTTTGCCGATATTATGACAATGTACAATAATTAATGATAATGGTAATGGCAGAGAGAACCTGATATTTTTTTTCTAACAGAATATAACTAAATCATTTATTTATTTAGAGAGTTAATTTTGTTGGTTATTATAATTAAAGTGCATGGGTATGCAATGAAAATATAAAACCGATGGATTCTGCAATAATTTGTTATGTGATGCAATGGAATACAAATGTTTTTAAGTGTGACTTTTGTGCTAGTTTGTGCATGAGAATTTAGCAACTGCCCTACAAAACAAAAATGTTCCCCCTATAAACTGGACAAATATTAAACAGTCAGGATAGTCACTGCAGGGGGGCAGGAAATGCCAGAGTGATGTCATAATCTACCAAACAATGGCACCTCACAGATTATTTGTCCTGTTGGAAATGTGGAGGTCAAGAACATACAGAAATAACTAAAGCAAATGTTTGTTAAGTCTCCCATCATTTTTGAAGATCATAACCCATCTTGTATCCATTACATGTTGCTATTTCCCCAATTAAATATTTCACACATGTCAGATTAGTCATAAAATGATTAATTGTGCTGTATAGCATTTATAAAACAATTTTTCCTTAGACAGATTATTGTGCTTGATAATAAGTTAATGATTGCTCAGGACACTCACACTACACCTCAGACTTACTCTCTGTTTTCTGTCTCAGTTTCTACAGTCACAATCAAACAATGTCGCTTTATCCATTTCCTGCACTTAACGTGGTGGCTTGTTGAAGGAATGTGGCGCTGTGCTCAGACAAACACAAAACAACTGAAAGCGCCTGTGGAATTCATTCAGAAGCTCTCAGGAATGCACTGCTCCTCTGCACTTTGACACCTTATGCTCCATTAGACTTTCCTGACCAAAACTGGTCACTGGAAGAGAGAGAGAGAGAGAGAGAGAGAGAGAGAGAGAGAGAGAGAGAGAGAGAGAGAGAGAGAGAGAGAGAGAGAGAGAGAGAGAGAGAGAGAGAGAGAGAGAGAGAGAGAGAGAGAGAGAGAGAGAGAGAGAGAGAGAGAGAGAGAGAGAGCAGCAAATATGACATGCAAAATTGTTAAACAATGCAGGAATAATGATGTCATTGTTGAAACTTAGCTTTGGAATTGTGAAGTGTGCTATTCCACATAGACCAATTTTAAGACATCACATACAGTATCAGTGATATTAAATTATAAGTATTAAGTATAGTTCACCCTTCACATGAAAATTCAGTGATCATTTTCTTCCGTGGAATACAAAAGAAGATTTTTTTTTTTTTTTTTTTGGTCTATACTTCTAAAGTTAATTGGTGTCCAATTGGGGTTCTTTAGCACCCCACTGACTTTCATTAAATGGACAAAAAGACAAAATGAGTTCCATTGAATAAAGATTTGGAATGACCTGAAGGAGTAAATGATGACAGAATGTTTATTTGACTGAACTATCCCATGTGAAAAAAAGAAGTGTTCTTAATTGTAGCCTCTTGATTGTGCACTTGTAGTGTAATTCAAATTTAAAAAAAAAATTTTTAAACTAACTTGCAGATAACACTTAAGTTACACTTTTAAGAATTGCACTTGTAATAATGTTAATTTAAAATATTTACTTAAAGTACATTTTAAATCATTATGTTGTCATGTTGACTACTTGTTTATAATTTTAGCTGTAGTGTTTTATTCAATACTACATTTAAAGTTATTATATTTTTAATTGACTAAATTGCAACTTCACCATTATTTGTAATTTCAAGTTTTGATAGAAATGAAGTTGAAGGATGTTGTAGTTTACCATAAATGCTTGTCAGTACATCTAAACCACATTTCAAAAATAAGAGCTGTAATTATGAAATTACATATTAATAACTAAGTCCTTTTTAAAGGGATAGTTCACCCAAAAATGAAAATTAGCCCATGATTTACTCTCCCTGAAGCCATAGGTCTATATGACATTCTTCTTTCAGACGAATACAATCGGAGTTATGCCGGAAGCTAGTTATTTTAGTCGATAAAGTTTTAAATATGGATATTTTTCTTACACGAATGCAACGCTTCACTTCAGAAGGACTTTATTAACCCCCCGGAGACGCGTGGAGCACTTTTATCATGGATAGATGCACTTTGATGGACTTCCAAAATCATATACCCATTCACTCCCATTATAAAGCTTGGAGGAGCCAGGACATTTTTTAATATAACTATTCGTCTGAAAGAAGAATGTCATATACACCTATGGCTTCAGAGTGAGTAAATCATGGGCTAATTTTCATTTTTGGGTGAACTATCCCTTTAAGTGAGTCATTAAAGCATTCTTAAGTTCAGATAGATGGATTTAAACTGAAATCATTACATTCAATACACAGTATATACAATTAAAGTAGCCTATATTATCTCAGTAATAAGAGTGTTTAAATAAATAAATATTTTTTTTTTTCACAAGGGATCCCTTTACGAATCCCTTTTACAGAAATGTTAAAAAGAAATGTTTTAAAAAAATAAGATTGTTGTGGGAGGTTTCTAAGGTGTTGTTATGTAGTTGCTAGGGCATTGCTAATGCAGATGGCTGCTTAAGTGAGCAAAGGATGAGCAAAGTTTAATACATTGCTTATGTTCACATCACTTACTCTCTGTATAGGCCTATGAGTAGGCCTAATAGCTATGCTATCAATCTAGGTGTTTTAGAACATACCCTCAAAATTGCAAAATTCATCCTTATCACAGGCTACCTGCAGGTATAATCGCATTGATGTTTATGCCCCCAGTAACAGAGGTGTTTGAGGAATTCCAAACAATGACAAATGGATTCTCTTTCTTGGAATCCTGCATGAGACGATCCATTATCTTTGACCAATGTCTATGAAGGCAATGACGGTAGAGGATTGGGTACACACAGACGTCTATTTCCGTTTCCTGTAAATTCCTCTGGTGTGAGCTATGACCTGCATCACATTAAAGAATGCAAACATTTCATGATCTGTGTCTGGAAATCAAGCACCATACGGGCCTGATTGAAAAACCCTCACTGTCTTATTGAAACACATTCATATTCTAAATAAACATCAGTAAACATGTCAATGCTGATACCTAAACTCGTAACCAATGGTTGCTGTGCTCTATCTATCTATCATATACAGTTTATACAGTTTGTACAGTATAAAAATAATTAGGCTATGCCTGCAGGCTATTCCGTGTATGCAATATACTGTAGGCAATTGAAAAATTGATAAGATAATTGAGCTCGTTCATCTGTAGGCCTACTGTACTATGTAGAGTCTATTTAGCCATCGATAACACTTGACGTTGACTTGACGCATGAGAACCTTTCATTTAGTTTCAGCCATGGTTTCAGCGCATTTACAGCGCCCTCTAGTGACGAAATGAGAGTAGACACTCCATTT